TTTTTTTTTTTTTTTTTTTTTTTTTTTTTTTTTTTTTTTTTTTTTTTTTTTTTTGTAACTTTCGTTAATTTTCTGATTCCTAAGAGTGTGTTTGATTCGATCTAGCTATAATTTTGACCAATAATCACTTTAATTATTATTATTATTATTATTATTTCAATATATTTCAAATCCAATTGGTTTTTGAAAATAAAAGCTTTTTTTTGAATTTTTAAAATTTAATAAAAAAAATGAATTTCAATTCTTTTTATTAGAATTTTCAATATTCTTTTATTCTACCATTAAAATTGATTTGATTTTGAACATTATAGTCCTCATTAGTTTTTTTTAATTTAATTTAACGGGAATACAAGATCGAATGATCTGTTAGATGACGAAAGTCCCACATCGGCTAATTTAGGGAATGATCATGGATTTATAATCAAGGAATACTCCCTCCATTGGTACGAGGCCTTTTGGAGAAATCCAAACCAAGACATAAAGCTTATGCTCAAAGTGGACAATATCATACCATTGCGGAGAGTCGTGTTCGTCTAACTTGGTATCAAAGTCATGCCCTAAACTCAGTCGTGTTATCGACCTTTATAATGATAATTTATGCATTGATAACGTTATGGAATAACGTAACTTTCTATATATTTAGAATATAATCTCTAATTTTATGAATAGTTACATTACTTGACATGCATTTGGATTTTCGTCGCTAAACAATTGAGGAGCGTAAACGTAGTGAACGAAATAAGGAGCGTTATTTTTATTATTATCGGTATCTTTGGTTTGAATCTCTGCAACTATCTTGGTCGTTGTCGTCGTCGTCGTCTCGGATGAAGATTTTTCTTTAGGCTTCTCTTTTTGCTCACTACTTTCTTTCTTCTTCTCCGGTGGCTTCGATGAATCGACCGCCGTAGTAATGTCAGCGTGTTTCTGCAGCTTCTTCTTCAGATAAGACTTGAACTTCTCTGGTTCTATGGTTCCTTCCATTGTTAGGGTTTGAGCTTTCATGTCTGTTTTCACATTATATATTCCTGCAAATATTCAAATTATTTGTCCTTCAAATGGGAAGTTTTTGTGTTTTTCATAACTTTTTGGGCTGTTTTTATAATTTAAAAAAATAGTATTTTTGTTCGTTAAAATATCATTATGGTCCTCGTATTTTAAATTTATTCTATTTTAGTCGATATACTTTTTAAAAATTTAATTTTAATCCCAACTTTGTCATGAATCTCAAAATTAGACATATTATTAAATTTATTAAATTAGGTTTAAATTAGACAAAAAGAAAAAAAAACATTTAAAAATAGTTTAAAATAATTATTAAATTTGTCCATTTTAAATTAGATCTTAAACATTACAAAATTTCATTTTAGTCCTTGAATTTTTAAAATTATTTTAAGATTTATTATAAAAAATTGAGTAGAATTTATTTTCTAATTTTATAAACGGATCAAAAGACGAAATTTGAGGACTAAATCACAATATTTAAAAGTTTAGGGTTCAAATTAAAATAGAGATTTTTTTTTTTTTTTTTTTTTGAATTTTCTAACTTAAAAATGGTTTGAATAACATATAGAGATGAAAAATAAAATAAAAGACCTTTATGCTTTAGCAAATTGTTCTTGAGGTCTTTCTCGCATTTGGCGCAGTGCAAGTGAACCTTAGCTGTTATTGTGCGTTGAATCTGCCAAGTGGAAAATAATATATTTAATTTAATTTAACATATATATATATACTAAATATATTTATGATGTAATAAATATGTAAATAAATATTTAATTGATAAATAATGAAATTATACTCACGAGGCTTGGCTTGGGTTTGTTGTCGTTGGGTTTAGGAGTTTCTTTCTCCTTGGGCTTGACTTTGGGAGAAATTAAGTCAACCCTTTTCTTGCTCAATTTCTCTATTTGCTTGTGAATTTTGAGCACATCCAAATTGGAACCTTTCACCCTAATTTCATTTTTCTCCATATCAACTTCAACATTATGAATCCCTAATATGAAATTAAAAAAAAGGTTAATAATTAAATTAAAGTCGGTTTTTTTTTTTTTTTTTTTTTTTTTTTTTTTTTTTTTTTTTTTTTTTTTTTTTTTTTTTTTTT